GACGAATATTTAATTCTCTGCGCAGTAATGCTGCACCTTCATCCACGGCATCGTTATCAAAAGGACATGCCATGTTAGTGAAAAAAGTCGCCACCTACTGTGCCTAATGGACTTCTAATATACTGACTCTGATTTCTTTAATGATTTTTTAAATGACAGACGGCAGAACTAGGCTACGCCAAAACTCGCCTGCTGACTGAATGAATGAGGAAATCAAATGAAGTGTGTGGCTCTGAAAGAGGGCAGAGACAGAGACACTCGAGGTTCATTGAGAAAAACCTGGTCCCGACCAGGTTAGGTTCATAGAGTCTGTTACCACGGTAACTGACTGAGAGCTTAAGTTACCTCTCTCTCTGAAACAGGCTAGAGTTACTCCTCTTTCTCTGGTTTGAGTTACCTCCCTTTTTGAAACGGAAAACTCAGAGTTTCCCTCATTTCAGGGTTAACAGACTCTGAGTTTTCACTAAATCTGCTTTGTGAAACGGACCCCAGGTGACTAATGGAGACAACAATTTTTGAGACCAGTATTGAGCAAGAGCACTGCAGCCAGCAGCCACAAAACTGCCCTCTCAGGGCAGTAGTGCACAGTCAATGTACGTCCACTTTAAGTTTTTTTTGTTTGTTTTTTTGGCCACTGACAGGCTCAGATTGTTATTACAAACATCTGACAAAAAATGAAACGTTTTTCTTTAACATTCACTTGATGCCGTCAGTTTGTTACTGTCTTCCTGCAACAACTCAACTTGTGAGACTTAAGAACGAGACTTCTTGAACAAGACTTGGTTACACACAAAAATAAACGGAACAGATAAAGCAAGAAATAAAGAAAAACATTTTATTGTTTTTTTATTGTAATAACAATCTCAGTCTGTGAGTGGCAAAACAAGCACTTTTATTGGACCTAAATTGACAGTGAACTATTGTCTTGAGTGGTTATATTGCAGCCTGTTTAATAGCTGCTGTCAGCAGCAGCGCTCTCGCTCTATACTGCACTGGTTAAAAAAGTTTTTGTCCACATTAGTCACAAAGACACAAAACTCTGGATTAAGTAGAGTGTAGGCTGAAAAATACCAAAGTTTCCCTTTAAAAAGAGCTGATAAAGCCAGTCTTCTTAATCTTTGTTGAATTACACAATAATCTGTACACTCCAATAAAAAGTACTAACTCTATAAAGTCTGTCTTAATAAGTGTGCACACACATGTGTGTATGAGTGTATATGGATGTGTATGTTTGTCTGTTTCTATTGCAGTTTGTCTTTATGAGGTTTTTATATTATTAAATGTTGTGGCCTCTAGTTTCCCGGCACGGCGTAGGGTGGCGCAGGGTGGCGCAGGGAGGCGAACCCCACGCAGAGCTAGTTTTGAGCAGCGCAACCTGAGGCGCGCTCAGTTTGGTAGTTTGGCAGACCGAGGTACGCTGAGATGGGTGTGGCTGCGCCGGTGTAAGTGGAAGTCTGGCTGACCGGCGGACAGTGTGCACACGTCACCAAAACCTCACAGGCAGGTTTCCAGAATGTCAGGCACATTAACAATGCAATAAATACCCACAAAAACCACTATTCAATGCAACTATCTGCAATCAGCACATATAGACCAGTGAAAGCACATGAACACACATGAAGGCGGTGCCGATGTCTCACAGTCTCGCGCAAGCGTGTACACGTGAGCGCAGTGTACACAGAAGCAGTTAGAGCAGGCTACAATGAGGCAGAGTTCAAATGAAGTTTTTCCAAACAACTTTTTATGTCGGGGCCTCATGACACTTGTATCACTACAGATGAGCGGTATGGAGATATTCTGTTCTGATATTCATTAGGTGGAGTTTTGTTGCTAGCCCCATCTCTGCAAGGGATGTGAGGACTCTAAAACTTCACCTGAGCCTCCCTCGGCATATGGGGGAGCAGATAATGGCTGAATTTTCATTTTTGGGTGCACTATCCCTTTAAATATGTAAATGACTTAAAATGACCATCCCTAATATCTAACCTTACCTGGCACCAATGTCACCAGTGTTCACCATGACAATTCTCTTGCTAGCTTGGCAGCGCTGGACAACAGCTCCAAAGGCAAGGTGATCCTGGTTAAGCTGGATCTCCACACCCTGAAAGTTAAAATCACAACTAGTGGTTAACATGACTTTATCCAAAGTACAGAACAGACAAACTTTGTGTCATTCATCACACACAGAGTACATCAGCAAACTTACTTCGGAATAGACGGATAGGATAGTTTAACGCTTGTCACAGCAAGCAAATACATCAAGAAAGGTCATCATTATCACCAGCCTTGTAAAATGAAAGCCTACCTGGCAGCAGCCTTGGATGGTCAGCAAGGGGTGTAACAGGCCTAGTAACTCCGCCTGCAGCTCAGCTGAGAAGGGAGGCATGTGCTGACGAGGTGAGAACTGGATCTCAATAACACATGAGCCACCACTGGCTTTCAGGTTCAGCTCACCTGCTGGACTGAATGACAGATCCTGGAGGAGGAGGTGGGGGAAGACAAGAATATTCAGTGTTGCTTGTGTAGACCAATCTTTATCTATGTGTGTGTGTTTGTGTGTGCATGTGTGTTCCCTACCCTTGGGTCCAGTTGTGTGTTTGTGTTAAGCAGCAGAGTAAAGGAAAGGTCAAGAGGGCTGCGGTTGACCAGAACCACTTGTTTTTTCACCTTCTGACCCAACATCAGAGATCCCAGTTTCAACTTCCTCTGCCTGGAGTCCTCCACCTCCAGCTGGGACACAATCATACATATACAGATTAAATACTTAAGATTTTGTTAAATAAATAGTCAAATGGATAAGAGTAGTGGAGCCTATTTATTGCTGGGGAAACTCAGTCTCAGGGAATGTTCTTGAAGAGGGAGTTTTTTTTTAAATCTGCTATCACTAAAGTGATTATTTGGTTTGATTTTTTTTAACATTATATATATTCAGGGATGTTTAGATAGAAGCAAACAAGCCATAGCAGTTGCTTTCTAATCCAGGTGGGAATCTCTTACTAGGAGATAGGTATTCCACTCACAACAGCAAGAAGGAGCATTCCTAAGATGCATTTTAAAGGCCCCGTGAGTAGGATTTAGGGAAAAAAAAGACGCAGAAATGGAATAAAATATTCATAAATAGTTGTCATTGGTTTTATAACAGCAGAAACTAGGAATCGCGTTTCTGTCACCTTAGAATGAGCAGTTTATATCTAAATACAGCGAGAGTCCGCCATGTAGTTTCTACAGCAACACACTGGCTCTAGATAGAGCCATTTCACATTAGCCACCATAGTTCTCTTACTCACTTGGCAGACAGGAGAGGTCTGCACATGTCTACAACATCACCACCACCACTTTAAACTAGACATTTAACAAGGTGTTGAATCCGAAATCTGTGAACTTTTCTTAAGAAATGCATAGTCTGTAGAATGTCATAAAACTATGAAACGTGAAATGTACAAATACATACATTCTTTCTTTTTCATAAAAAGAACAGAATTTAGAAATCCAAGTAATAAAATGAACGTGTTAATGCTAACTGCAAGCAACTGCATTCTAGTGCACAGCTTCTGTGGGTTCAGTGTTTTCAGTCACAGTAATCTAAGCAGTGATTTGGGTTAGTCAAAGGATATCACCATGAAAACTTCAGTCTATACTCATCACATGTTTAATCTCTGTCCCAGTCTTGTGTTGAAGTCTATTCACTTTTAAAGAGTGTCTAGATTCACACTCTCTTCTTTCTCACCTTTATCTTGACGCCTTGCCCTAATATGTCCACATGTTTTGTGACACAGCCGTTTAAGATGAAGGTGAGTTTTTCATGGTAACGGCATGCCTCGCGAGGACAGAACTTGACTGGTGCCTCCATCACAGCACCAGGGGACAAAATACCTGGATGGAAGTCCATCTCTAGGTAAGAGGTGTTTGTGAACTGGCAGTGGACACTGAGGAGAGAGTAGGAGAGCACAAGAGTTGTTTTTTTTAATTGGATTGATAATAACACAACAGTTAAGTCAATTAAAAGCAAGTCTAAAATATAGAGGTTTTTTTAAGGTAACTTTTAAAGAAGACAATGTGTTAGCTTTTCTGATCTCCAGCGGCAGGTCATTCAACAACTGAGGGGCCCAAAGAGAGAAGGCCCAGTCATCTTTAGTTTTAAGGCCTGACCTTGGAATGGCCAGGAGTGACCTACATGTACCAGAGAATCGCCAGTTGTATTCAGGCTCGTAGGAGGTCAGGAGGTCAGCTATATATTCTAAAGCGACCCATCTAGGAGCCTTAAAAGTGGTAATTTAATTTTTAAAATCCATTCTTAGATGGACTGGAAGCCAATGAAGTGATTTTAAAACTGGTGTGATGTCTTCTCTCCTGTTGGACATGGTTATGCATCTGACTGCCGCATTTTGAATCACCTCAAGTTTATTGAAGTTTTGTTTTGTCAGACACGAGAAGAGTGCATTGCAGTCATCTAAACGGGATGAAATGAATGCATGCATTACTGTTTCTAAATCTTTGACAGATAAAAACGACCTGATTTGAAAAAAAAAATTCTCAACAGGAAAAACATGATTGGACAACAGAATAAATATGCTGGTCAAAGTTGAGGCTTGAGTCAAAGATAATACCAAAGTTTCTGCAAGAGTTAGTACTGTTAGACGAAAGCGGAACAAGATGGGAAAAATGAGTGGAGGTACGATAACGATCTTGGGTTTGTCTGAGTTGAATTGTGGAAAGTTAACTCCATCCCGTGGTTGATATCGGCAATGCACATGTGGAGTTTTTTTAATTGACTGGTATTAATGGTGTCAAATGAAAGATATAATTGTGTATCATTGGCATAGAAATGATAACTGCTATTAAGTGGAAGCATGTAAATGGAAAATAGCAAGGGCCAAAGAATGGATTCCTGTGGAACTCCATATTGTGGTGGTACTGAAGCTGATTGTTAATTTCCAATGTTCACACAAAATGACCTTCCTGAACGATAAGAATAGAACTAATCTAAAACCAAACCTGGGATTCCAACACAATTTTGAAGACGTTCAATTAAAAAACCACGATTTACAGAATCAAAAGCCACAGACAGATCCAACGGGAGTAAAACAGTGTGTTGATCAAAGTTAGCTGCTAAAAGAAGATCATTAAAAACCCTGAGAAGAGACGTTTCTGTGTTATGACCTGCTCTTAAACCTGACTGAAATTTCTCAAAAAGATCATTACCATTCATAAAAGAATAAAAACATTTCTTTATGCAGTAAACACCTTTACCTGATACATGGAGAAAAACAGACTGACACACTCAATTACCTGATGTCTCTTTCGCCTTTGTTTCTGATCACTAGAGTCTGGGAAGCCGGCACCATGCCAGGAGTGTACAGGAAGCACTTGCCAAAGTTGTACTTGGTGAAGGAGAATTGAAGGCCAGGTGCTACAGCCCTGCCTTCAACGGCAAATGTAAATGTTGGCCCATGCTTTACCTGACAAGTTGAAACAAGAGAGAGAAGGACAGGAGAGAGGATGGAGAACACCAAGAAAGAATGAATGAAGAAAGTTTATACAACAGTTTTAACACAAAATCCACCAAATTAAATAACTTTATGGTGTGACATGAACAAAATAACAATTTTTTTGTATCCTTTTTTATACATTCTTTTCAATAAATGTTGTAGATGTTGACTCCCTTTTAGAGTTTACCAACAATATAATGGAAATCTAGTCAAATACATTACTGAATAATATACTTTGGCAGTAGTCTCAGTATTTGTCTCTAAAAATGAGGAGAAAGTACAAGTAGATTTAGTTTTTATGCTTCAGTAGACTATTACTTTTACAGCATCACTTCTTAGTCAACTCATTAAGGTGTTTTCACCACTCTTAACAGAACATGGAAACAACAGCATGGATTAAGTCTTTATTAATGTTTATAGATTATTTATGACTATCCAACTTTGTTTTCTTGTCAGTGCAGAATGAGGGGAACTAGCTTGCTGATCTTTCAAAGCACTGCTACTTCTGCAAAAACCCTCACGCATCTTCCTGACGTGGAGCAAGCAAGCAAATTCTAGAAGATGGAGTGCGAAAAAGTATACAAATATACTAGGAGTGGCAATTACATTCAGAGAGCCTATCAAGCCTCGAGCGAGCCTGAGCAACAGCTTGCTGTTTTTTAAACAAGCACACGTCGTTTAGCCTGTTTGCTGACACACAGAGCAAGTTAGAACTTATTCTTTGGGAAACACCGAAGCAATCTGATGTCTACTCACTCACACTTCACGTTGCATCCACGAAAGGGTGACACGTAGGAAATAAGAGAGTTCAGCATCTCACCTTGATACTCAGTCTGACATCCTGGAGATTACAAATGTTCCGTGGACCAAAGAAGAGTGAAGACTGCAGCTGCTCTCCAACCTCAATAGCAGCATTTTGTGGTTGTACTTCCAAGTGTTGCAGCAGCTCATTGGGACCTGTTAAGTCCGAGTTCACTTCCAGGCTGAATCTTGCCAGATTGGACACCAGGAAATTAAAGGTGGATCGCTCCGAAATCCCCACCTGTAAACAGTGTAAACACAGACAGACGCAGGAAGATGACTGTCATGTTTAAACCTCACACATAAAGGCATGTGATCATTCATCTAAATATTTGTGACTGCAATGCCGACCTTTCCAAAGTCCAGAGTGTCTTGTTGGTTAGGCTTGATCTCTCTGAGGCCTCTGTCTGGGTTCTCAACTTGAACAGAAGCCCTCAAGCAGAAACAATCAGCCTTAACTGTGAGTGTGAGTGACTTCCTCTTCACCCTCAGGACCAATCTGAAGCTCACATAGCCGTCCCGGCAAGGCATGAGGGACACTGACAGTGGCAACCTGCACCAAGAGTTCACAACAATTGACAGATATATTGCTGGCTATGAGTTTCTACAGTATGTGCTGTAATACAACATAAAACTTCCTCACAAAGCTTTAATATCTGCCATTTTAATGACTTCATGCCAGATAAACAGTGCACCATGCACAAAGCAGAGATTTTTTTCTTTCAAAATAACTGACACTTAAACATTATTACACTTCAAAATAGCATATTGCATTTTTGGATTGAAGTCTTTACATGTAGCTAGTGAATGTTATAGTGTCACTAACCTGTCTTTGGGTGCCACTGTGCCAGTCATGGGCTGCACAATGAGGCTGGACTGCTGGTCATCACCAAGAAGAGATGACTGTACAACAGCGAAACTGAAAGTCTCCTGCTCTCCATTCACCAGATCAACAGTCTGTTCCACTTTGCGACCTGACACACACACACACACACACACACATTTACACTTCGTTTAGAACAAGAATCTTTGTTACAGTTGACCACAGCATCCCCTATCCTTAATCCCAACCTCAACCAATATAGCTACAATGTAGCTGCCCTCATTTAAACCCCCATCAACACAGATCTTGACCAGAAAACCATGTCTAAGTGCCTTGAAAAACTGAGGGTCGCCTCAAAGATTCAGAAAGAGGTGTCAGTTGTTTAAACTCCTCACATTTTTCCCCCGTTAAAGGGGTTTTTTTGGGGAGTTTTTCCTTATCCGCTGTGAGGGTCCAAAGGACAGAGGGATGTTGTATGCTGTAAAGCCCTGTGAGGCAAACTGTGATTTGTGATATTGGGCTTTATAAATAAAATTGATTGACATTAGCAGTTTTACAGGTTTATACAATATAATATTACTAAAGCAGAGACCAGTAATTAGATTCAACCAATGACCTAGGCAGTGTTTTACAGATGTAGTGGAAACACAGGCCAATATGTCTTCAATAGGATGTATTTGTACATGTAATTATATTCATCAATGTCTAAAAATGACTAATAAAAGTGAACATGGTCACTATGACCCTAGAGATTTAAAGGGATAGTTCAGATCTTATGATGTGGGGTTATTTGAGGTACTTCTCCATAGTCAGTGCATTACATGCAGTAGATGTTGCAAGCTAAGCAATGTATGCTGTTGGGGGTTCAACAACAAAACCTACTTTAGCCACCTAAAATAAGTCCCACCTAAAAAGTTTTATATCAGTTTAAGTGTAGGCTATATTTTGAATATTTTCACTACTTTATCTTGCTGTCAGACAATGATTTCCAACACCGAACTGAGACCGTCAAAATGCTCACTTCAAAGCCAGAGTCCATTACAAAAACCAGTCATTTAACATTGCCGTACTCAGGAGTTGCCAGTGTACCACCACTTCGATGAGTTAGTTTGTGTTATCGTGTGACTTTGGCATTTAAAATAATTGGTTTGGATTCACCAAAGTCACATAACACAAACAAACTGATTGAGGCAGTGGTAAAAACCAGCAGCTGCCATTTTCAATCAGCCAAAATTACTGTTTCTATCAGTGGATGGATTTTTTTTTAACAAGAGCATCGATGGGGGAGCTGAGGTGACCTTTGATGAGTTCCTGGTGGAACTTAAGGCATCATCATCTGAACAAGCAGTATATGTCAAGGTAAAGCAGAGAAAACACTCGAATGATGTACGCTTAAACTGGTATAGACTTTTTTAGGGGGCCAAAATACATTTTGTTGCTGCCCCCCTGTCCACAGCAGTCAATTGCTTAGCTTTCGTGTTGATACTCCTGCCTACAACCCCATTTAAAAAGATCTGAACTATCCCTTTAATAGGTTATCCACCCATGATAAGCAGTGACCTGCTTCATCTATGGTTGAAATTTGTTATGGTCACATAGACTTAAGCCTTGGATCTGCAAATTAAAACTCCCATGTTAGTGAGAGAAACCATTGCTTTGTGTTGTATATGTGGTATGACTTAAAAGAGATGTGTGACGTCACTGTGTAAATGCACGTACGAGTGTGTGTATATGTTACGTACCAACAAGCAGTTCTCCAAAGTCAAGGTGAGGTCTGTCAAGATAGACAAGTGGTTCTTTAGTGGTGCCCACACACAGGAAGGGGACAGTCAGTGAAAGAGTCTCGATCACAAAGCTCCAGAATGACTCCACGGGATCCAGCTGTTCAGCTACATATTCAAAACGCACCTACACACACACACACACACACACACACACACGCACGCACACAGACCAGAGGACTAAAAAAGACGGTTTAAGCAAAAGACGATCTGAGTGAGAGGAATAAAGGTGAGGAAGACCTGAAGGGAAGAGTGATGAGCAAACTAGAACAGATTAGATTAGATGAGTTGAGCTAGAAATATATTTGATATGAGATAAAAATTAAAATGGTATTAGAATAAATGGGAGGAAGGAGATTGGATTAGACTTGTTGTGATAGAGGGGGGCATGAGGAGACAGGGATGCTGAAACAATAATGAGATTGAGACCAAAGATTTAAAATGAGGAGAGATTTAGATTAACTCATGCGCAATGAAATTAAGGATGGGAGGAGGTGAATTTGATGACACATTGCAGTTGGTGGAAACTGAAAGACAAATGTTCCTCGACTGTGCTTCCATCCTTACTTCCACTTTCTTTCCAGGCAAGATGGTACCACATGGGGTGAGGCAGCAGAATGGGCTGCCACCTGTGTCTTCACACCTCCACTTGAATGAGTAGGGTTTACTGGTTGGGTTCAGCACACTAAAACATCTGTCGTGTAAACAAAGAAGACATATGCATATTCAGAGCATTAGGGCCTACAGTGATGGAAATAAAACGCTCCCATCTCTCTCATCTCTGTTACCTTGTTGATGGCACAGAGAAGCCAACAGCGTTGAACTCTATGAACCTGGTGTTAGGGTCCAGAGAGCCCCTGAATTCAGGGTTACGGCGGTTCCCGCTGATATAGTCTGAGTCCTCCAGGTCAAAGTGGCAGTGGGGTAAAAGGCTGCGGCCGCACACTGAAATACAGGGAGACTGATCCCCATCCTGCAAGTTGGGAATACTGGAAGTATAAACACAGAGACAGAAAAGAAAAGTCAAAGTCTGTGTCAAAATTCTTGGGAAGACATTTATTAACGTCCTTACAGTCACCCTGGCCTCCCACACTGTGTGAATCAAAGAGAGAGAGAAAACTACAAGCGTTTACTATGATTCTAGGCAGAGGCCTCAAAAGCTTTTTCAGCAGTTTCCAGAGCAGAATTGTTTGCCATCCAATTGGCAAAAAATGCAATTCTCACTGAAATTTCCAAATGTTTTGATACCAAATCACAGCATGGATTGCTCTATGGCATCCCTGAGGGTCTTGGTGTCTTAACGTGGTATTTTATGAGGGATTTAAGACCATTTATTGAGTCTCAAGGGTAAAAAAATGCTTACATTTAGCACCAAATCTGTGTAACAAATGGTACCAACCAAAAACGTGCTGTAACAACTTATGAGACATAACTGAGCATGGGAATGGCCATCATGTACTTCCATCATAATGTTCTAAACCTCTATACATTCCAGACTTATAAAGTCCCAGTAGGCGCCTAACCAAAACACAATGTTTATTACATATTTATGACTAGAAAATCCTGACACACAGTACTGAGCTGCATCTATAATTAATCTTCGGTTTCACTGCTTTCCGATGATGTGTACCACTTAGATGTGGAATATACTGTTGCCTTGCTATCTCTCCTAAAGCTCCCCTGTTCCACCTTAAAAAAAGAAAAAAATAGGTCTATGGTAGAGAGGGAGAGAAGGAGTTGAAGAGGTAAAATATCAATTTTAAATAACAATTTACTGTACCTGCAGACCAGCCTGCCCTGAAACTGGGCCACTTCCAGAGGTGAAAAGCGAATGCTGAAATTCTGAATGGCACCAGGCTCTATGGCCCCTATGCTGGGCTCAATGCTGAAGGGTGGAAGCTCAGGATCCCCCATCAGATGAGGCATCACGCTGGCCAGAGCACTGGCAGGACGGCATCCAGTTAACACTCCTGCTGACCTGCTGCCTGGTCGAGAGGTAAGGGTCCAATCTGTTATAGACAACACATGTTCACATTCACACACAGTTTTAACCTCCAATTATTAAAAAGGATTCAAGTGTAGGTACAGGAATATCAAATACTGGTACAATGCTAAAATTGAAGGTCAAGGCCAGTTATTTTAAAAGATTTTTTTAATGCCACGCGGAATGAAATTTAAGACCAATTTTACATTTACCGAAACTGAAGGAAAATAAACATGAGCAGAAATCAATTACTTAGCTTACTTAGTAAGGGACAGTTTTGTCCAAATATTCACTGTAACATAAAACATGATTTTTTTGTCTTGTAGCAGAAACAAGGGTGTCTGCTGGCAAGTTGCCCTAGGAATCTTCTCACTTTACATGAGGGATTTCGCTGCCTTATTTCCCATAGTGCCAGGTTTGGAAAAACCTTTTGCATAAAATACATGGTTACAGCCATGTTGTAAAATCTTGGTCAAATAGCCAATTTTGATTATTTTGCTCTTCCCCGTGTTGTCCAGGGTACAGTGACAGCTAGCTAATAGACAATGGATCCTGTTGTCCAAGCATCCTAGCTGGAAACAAAATATGAGTGTTGTTGGTTTCACTATCCTGATCTATGTGACATTAATGTCAGAAGCAAATCATTAAAAAAAAAAAATAAATAAAAAAAATATGTTACTTATTATTTTGTCATTTTACAATGCAACATTGGAAAAAAATATTCAGAAAATCTCATGTTGTAGCACTTTCTTACTTATGAAAGACTGATTTAAGACATTGTAATACTAATTAAAGCCTTATTTTGCGATTAATTAATTTAGCGTCTTTTAATACTTTTTCAGGATCCACAGGAGCCCTGTCAAATGCTGACCTCATTATATGCAATATTACTGAGGTACCTCCTTGGTCACGGTGTGCAGTGTTGTTCCTTGGATCCATGAGGACTTGTACAGAGAATTCCAGTTTGACAGCACCCTGATTCACTATCTGCAATCTGCAGAGACACACACTCAAGATGTTAACATCATTAGCTCTTTACTGAACACTATTGTGACTGATGTGATAGAGTGTCAGAAAGATGTGTAATGAGATGACATACAATATGAGGTCCTGCAGCTTTATTTAGATTATATATTATCATCCTTACTATCTGACCCTCAGGGTGCCCTGACAATTTGTTCGTATGGTTTATTTTGGTTTATTGAAACAGCATGTATTGCAGATACCCAGAGCCTGACTTACTGGTGGAGCCTGGTTTGGTAGAGCATGGTGTCTTTGAAGTGGATGGTGTCTGTGTTGCAGTTGAACTTCACATAGTCACAAACTGCACTGATGTGCAATTTCAACTCCCACTGGGAGCCCTCAACCACAGAGCAGCAGGGTTCAGGATCTGTCTTTATCACCTGCATGCAAACATATACATGTTTGTTCAACTGTAATTGTGAACTCTCTCTTCAGCATTACTTTCGCATCACAGTCAACCTGTGTTTACCTTATTCTTCCCAGGCTGCTGTGGTGCTCCTAAAGACTGTTTGGAGGAACTCAGCCACTGCACTGTTCTCTGTCGATCGTCCCAGTCAGCCACCTGCTCTAGTGGCTGCTGGAACTCCACCTGACTAACCCTACATGTCATTAGCTGGCTTTTCAGAGTCACTGGCTGATTGGAACAAAATGTGACATTTACTTCCTTAGAGCAACCAGCATGGAGATGTCCCACCTGTAAGAAAAAAGTAAGGAATCAAGTATCATCCTACGCAGCTAAAAAAAAGCTAGTTAGAGTCCAGCCCCTTCATTAAAAAGTTTTTTAAACATGCTCCACTTTTATAGCCACACCTGCATTCCTTCTAAGTGCTTTACCTGTGGTGAAAAGATGACATGAGGTCCGACAGGAGGCCATTCAAACCTCACCACCAGGCTGCTGCTGTGGTTAGTCATGGTAAAACTCTCTTGGTAAGGACGATCTACATGGCAGTCACCAAAACTCAGCAACTCATAATTACCTGTGAGAAAGAAAATGAGTCTTGTTGAAAAATCTGGGATAAGAAACAAACTTCCATATTAATAAAACTTTTAGCATTTCTCTGTACACACTCAGCAAGTGACTGCTAATCTGGCTGATTAATAAACCTACTTTACACATCGCAATCTCCATTCCTACCACATGATTAGTCTCCTGCCCTCCTTTCTACACTTACCTCCCTCATCATCATCCTCCTGATCTACTTCTTGTGATGACTTGTTGATGTTGTCAAGAGAGACAATTTCCTGGTAAGCTTCTCCAGCCACCTGTATTATGGTATGGCTGCACTGGTTGTCCTCCACCTGCAGTGACATCTTGGCCTTTACACTCTGGGGCTTGTCAGAGCAGAAGCTGACCTCAAACTCCGCCTGCTCATTAACATCCAGCCTAAGGATGGCTCTGTGCACTAACTGATGCTCTATGGGAGAAGAAAAAGGGTCACCAATGAGAAATATGGAAATGGTTATCGCCATCACAGGAGAGAAACCTATGTGGAGCTCATAAAGTTATTAATATTTCATGCAAAACAACAGTATCACTGACAGTTTTGAATATGTTTGTCAGAGAAAACAGAAACAAATTTCTGGAGTAATTTGTAAATATGATTTTTCTTCATAAATGTTTTGAGCACTCAATTTTTGGGGGAGTCCAAGGAGCGACACTTGGTGCTGTAGCCCTATTGCTTTTGCTCTCATTATTCCTCTCCTTTTTGTTGTGTTCATGCAGCAAAAACTGCAAGATGAGAACCAAGTCCATCTGCAAAAACTGACAGGTGCAAATTACTACCCTGGCAAAAAAAAAGGCCATCAATTGTCCAGTTGTCCAAAAGCATCCCAAAGCTGAATCTGGCAGTGGAGCCGTAGAAAAAGGCAAAGCCAAACATACAACTTGAAGACTGCTTTTAAGACAAGGACAAAGTGAAGAGGTCTTTCCTTCACCAAAAAGTGCAGAAATGCTGTTTTGTGTGGCTCATTGGTCTAGGGGTATGATTCTCGCTTCGGGTGCGAGAGGTCCAGGGTTCAACTCCCGGATGAGCCCACAGTGTGTAGAAGTAGCTGTGTAGCTGAAGTAATGTGGTGTGTTTGTCAAGTGTGATGTGAAGCACATGTGTTGCAGGTGTCATGCCTTTGGGAAAGCAGGTCTTTTAACCTATAGCTGATGTGACTTGATGAAATCAAAGTCACATGATTTTGTTTTAAGTACAAAGCAACTTCATTAGGATGGAGCAGTTGTGTTAGACTGATTTTACTGAAAAATCCGAGCTCTAGTTTTGGTGGAACCTTTTGTGTGAAATGTGTCCAGTTGTCCAAAAGCATCCCAAAGCTGAATCTGGCAGTGGAGCTGCAGAAAAAGGCAAAGCCAAACATACAACTTGAAGACTGAGATTGAAGATAGGTCTTTCATTCACCAAAAAGCGCAGAAATGCTGTTTTGCGTGGCTCGTTGGTCTAGGGGTATGATTCTTGCTTCGGGTGCGAGAGGTCCTGGGTTCAACTCCCGGACGAGCCCACAGTGTGTAGAAGTAGCTGTGTAGCTAAAGTAATGTGCTGTGTTTGTCAAGTGTGATGTGAAACACATATGCTCCCTGGTGTTGCAGGTGTAACGCCTTTGGGAAAGCAGGTCTTTTAACCTATAGCTGATGTGACTTGATGAAATCAAAGTCATATGATTTCGTTTTACGCACACAGCAACTTTATTAGGATGGAGCAGTTGTGTTTGACTGATCTTACTTAAGTTTAAGAGCTTAAGTTACCTAGCTAGCTAGCTGGTGTTGGTGGTGTATATTGTCCAAGACAAATGATGTAGTTCACTGAGAAGTTTCATATATAACTTAACAGTACTATGATAAACCTACAGTATGACAAACGGTGACTTTCTTGACTTGCAAAATGATCTTTTACATTGACAAACATTATATGAGTTCAAACAGGATCAAAAAATTCTTTGTCTCTCGCTTGTTCTTTCTAAAAGAAGTTTCCACTGGGGACACCAGAGGCAGCGGGACTTTGCCTCTCTATTGACTGATTGATTATTTTTATTTACGTGTCATGCACAAAGTGCCCAAACCTCATGGGTTTATAAGACACCAAAAAGAAAGTACAGTTTCAGTGTACATTTTTTTTCCATTTCATATATAATTACAGCCCCTTTTACAGCTCAGACTTTAAACAGAATATTCTGCCTTCTCTCCCACACTTTGCAAATAAAATCTGCAACAAGAAAGGTTCCCTTTCTAAAACACAACTCAAGTTTCTCATACTCATCCAGCCAAAAGAAATCAGCATAAGTAGAGGACAGTTTAATAAAAAGTACATCTCTCAAGTCGTCATAAACAGAACAGCAAAACAGAAAATGGACCTCAATCTCAATTTCACCAAGCTCACACACCTGACAAAGACTGTCCTCCTCTGGAATGGCATTAAACCTGCCAGTCTCTAAAGCTAAGGGTAATGTTCCTGAACGCAACTGTGCACATAATGATCTTTGTCTTTTGTTTAAATTATACTTCACATACATTTCAACATCATAACAGTTTTTTATGAGACAGTAAGTTTGTAATTTTGATTATGCAAAGTTGAGTTTTACAGGTAAAGGTTGTACCTGAGTCAGTGGTGCCCTCAAGCTGTGTGGAGTGGATGGAGCTACAAGTGTTGCCAGGAGCAGCTTTGAGGGTGAACACTCCATGTTCATCCAGCATGTCAATCTGGATCTGCACAAAACACAGAGCAACAAAGCTCCTTTATTGAGAAAATCCCCCATCATTGATGTGTACCATATCTATCTATCGTTCTTTTTAAAGGGTTATTTTTTGGTGTTTTTGCATTTATTGATAAGACGGTTGTACACTGATAGGAAAGGAGGGAGAAAGAAGGGGAACAACATGCAGCAAAGGGCCATGGGTCAGAATCGAACCCGGGCTGCTACAAAGGACTCAGGGCCAAACTCACAAAAGGATTGCGTGGCTTTTGTGGCCACTAAACCGGTAAAAATGGAGCAAACACATACCTTCTTATTCACAAAGCACGCACAGAGGGTGAAATGCTCCACTAACTGCGCTGCCAAGCAGATTGTGTCTCAGTGCTCCGGTGTTATTTGCACGTATTTAAATGAGGTAATATGCATATATTTGGCGCAAAAACTGCCCCTTTCTATGCAAATGAGCCTCATTGATAGACAACGTCTAATTCACTAACACCAGCGCTAATAGCCACACACAGTTTGAGTGAAGTAAATAACGTCTTTAGAAAGCTGGTGCAAACTAGGGCTGCGCGGTATATGCGGTAGATGGTAGAAATGATATAAATTTGGCCCACGGTAGAGATTTGCGCTCTACTGTCCTATCGTCGATGACGTCATCGCACCTGCCTCAGTGTGAAAATGGCTGCGAGCACAGAGACAGCGGAGCAAGAGGAGCTGGTTCACGTCCGTGATTTAGCGTAGCACGTGCAACATGTGTTGCTGGAGAACTTGTGAGTGAGTGAGTTAATGTTGTATGAACAGCCCCGGACTTCTCAGACTCTTTTAGCGACTTACCGCTCAGAGGGAACTCATTCAGTGTCTCCTCTGGCAGCAGCACAGCGTCTCTCCCTCTCCTCTCTCACCGTGCGCACACGGGAGTTGGTTTTTGGCAAGAGAGTTTGTCATAAACCTTTGGTAATGTAAACCTATGTGACACTAGGGGCTCCACAAAAAACTCCATATGTGAATGTGTGATAGTTGTGGTATCATAACAGCCTGTCACAGGTTACAGCGTGATGATTAGAGGAGAAATGGCAGAGCATAAAGATCCAGGTGGAAAAAACACAACTCAGTCATTTAGGATTTTGCTAAAAGAAGGAAATTACCTTTTGATATAGATCCCAGAGGACATTTTGCACCGTAGAGTACTGGGTTTTAATTTTGAGTTTTGAGATCTGCATTCTGCACAATAAATGCTCTAAAAAATACATTATATCTTTGCTTTTGTTGTTGTTGTTTTTTTTTTATCAATTTAGCTTTGCTAAGGGACTACAAAACCCATTCAGAAACACTTCTATTATAACTTTTACACTTAAATTTATACCGCGATATATACCGTTACCGTGAAGGGATTCGATTTATACCGTGATATGAATTTTAGGTCATACCGCCCAGCCCTAGTGCAAACTGGGCGCTCCTCTGTGGAAGCCTCTCGCCCAGACTTTCCAGTGATCGTGGCAGCAGTGATTGTCTGTTAAATCAGTCTGTAAATAATATTTTGACATTATTATTATAATCATTATTACTTTAATGGCATCCGAAGATACTGATGCGTTGAACAGGTGACAGTCTGCGGTCGTTCTCAAAACACACTTCTGTCACACACTTTAAAAGCAACTTTCAATAATTTATTTTATGAAACGGGGGAAACAAACGTGAACAAAAATGGTTCCATAATTCATATTAAATTCAAAAGATAACGAAAAATCAGCTACAGGTGAGAGGGAATAGTGATAAAGTGGTCAAACTTGGTCAAATCCACAGTCTCAACCCATCCGACACTGTTAGACTGACTCACCAGCAGACATCACTACATGAGGGTATACAGTATTCAGTACTTTGCCAAACAAAGTCTGCCATTGTTCTGCCACTGTGTTCTTGGTGCAAAGCCAGCATTTATACTTTGCCATGTGGCTAATTGCAATCAGGGGCAAATCAGGGGCAAACTGCACTCAGCTGCCAAACTTTGTGGGCGTATTTGCGCTGGTATATCATTAGAGCAATATCCTTTGTGAATAGGACGTTAAGACGGAGCAAACTGCGGGTGCAAATGAAGTGCAATTCAAGGTGCTATCAGCGGCTGCAGTTCATTCTTTGTGAATTCGGCCCTCAATCTATACAGGCCAGACACTCCACCGAATGTGCTATAGGTCGCCCGGTGGTCATATGTTGTAATTACAAGTCAATGCAATTTCTTTTTTTTCTTTTCTTTTTTTAATAGCTGAAAGTAAACATCTATAATAAATCTATAATAACATAAAATGACAGAGGAATATGTCTCCTCTCACCTGAGCAAGGACATTTCCATCATTTAGAAGCACCAGGGGCAGACTGTGTCTGCGCCCTACCAAAACTCGTGCGAACTGCAGCATTAGGCTTCCTCTGTTGTTCCTCAGAGCTGGACGCACCACACACACACTGGGCAGATTGCCCTCTCCTATTAGCTCGAACTCCAGTACCTTGCTCTTTGATGTGGGTGTCATTCTGGATCCGATGGAAAAAGAGTAGGTGGGTAGTGGTCAGCAAGGCAAAGCAAGAGGTGATCATATTCCCTTACTATATTCACAGTAGTAGTAAAAATAAATGAACAAACAAACAGCATAGAGCACACTTAAGTAGCATACGCCGTTATGAACCCAGATACCTTATGGCTCCTTCCACTGTGACCTCAAGCACAGCACTGTAGAGCTGCATCATCAGCGGTGCGAAGGTGACCACAGCGAATGAGTGCGACTGGCTGGGAATGTTTAGTGTCGTAGCAGACAGATCAAAAACCTCCACACTACCAGGCGTCTGTTAGAAAATGGATAGGTTTGACCTGCTTCCATCTACCACAATCAGCAATAATCCCATACGCATTTATCCATGTTCCTACCCACGAAGCTTTATATGCCTTACCTTAACGCCGACATATTTGATGGCTAAGTTGAGCGCGCAGGGCACCTTGTTGTTGTTGGTGAGCTTGAAGCGGGCCTGGGCAGTTCGCCCAACCAGGACCTTATTGAAAATGAACTTGTTCTCATCCTGGACGTAAATGCCTTCAGCGTTGCAATATTGCTCAGAGGAGAGCTGACTGCTGCTGTGGCACAGATGATGTTCCTCAAAGATGGAAGCCATGTCTAACGCTATGCCTGGGAGGGAAGGAAGGAAGGAAGGAAGGAAGGAACAAAGAAAGAAAGAAAGAAAGAAAGAAAGAAAGAAAGATAGAGCCAGATATAGTATTAGTCAAAGGAATTGCATTGTCCTTGATGTAGACCGTCTAATGTTCACACAGTCAATGTTTTTGTGATCATTAAAATGAAAACCTCTGATGAAATATTTGTAACCTAGATAACAAGTTTTGAACTCATATTCTCATATGGCACAGAAATGGAAACAGAAATCTGCACTGTTTTTCTGAATGGCAATAGTTTGTGTCCAGCTTAGTTATCTCAGGAGAACCCAATGCAAATGACATGCATAGAACTGAGCCATTTGGAAGGGAGCCACGACTTTGGTCAGGTTTATTAATCAAATCTGACATAATAATATCACATAGCCCTCACCTGGCTTGCAGACTTCAGCCAACAGTCTGTACGGTATGCCGTCAGGGTGGTCTGAGGGGTCACGGTCACGGATGTCAATGAGCAAACCCTGGTTCCAGCTGCCCAGCTGTTCAGCTACACACTCCACCATCACCACCTGCTGAGACCCTGGCTGCAAGCTCCCTGTGCAGGGAGTCACTGAGAACACCCCCATGGTGAGGCGATTCTGAGGAGAAACATGGGAGGATCAGAGAGGTACAGATGAAAAAAATGGGAAAAACTACCGTAAATGTTGTTCCTGTTGTGCAAATGGAAACTTAGGTATTACAAACAAAAGACACAAAGCTCTCCTGCTTTTTTGATATGGAACCGAAAAGCATGACAGGCTTTTATATATCGAATTGAATTTACTTCAAGCATCACCAGTTTTTTTCTTCCTTCCGTTTTGTTTTATCGTCATGAACAGGAGCTACAGGAGTATTTTACTCAAAGCTAGAAACCGGAGAAGTAAGTCTCAAAGTTGGATGTCACAGGGAATAAAGTCTGGAGCTGCTCCATGGACAATGCAAGGGAGCCTGATTTTGGGAACCAACAAAATGTCTGTCTTTTTTATACCCAAATGAGCTTTATAAAATTGTAGTGTTTACGGTTGTGAAACAGAAAATGTACCCATATACTCAGAACATTCCCCATGGTGCTCTCACTGTTGTCTATAACACGCAGAAGAGAAACAGAGGTGAGGAAAGTAAAACAAAGCAGATAAAGTCAAGAGGGTGAGAGATTGAAACAAACTTGTCATATAAGGTGAGATTATTTGTCTTTAGCCATTAGGCTCTTTAGCAGAAAGGGTTTGTGAGGGTTTGTTTCATTGTTCACTGGTGCACAGTGAATATGGTTTGTTTTTTCAACATTACATTGTGTTGTCAATGTGCAGAGTGGCTAACTAGTGTCATGATGGACTCCTGGTTTGTCCTTTTGAATAATGAATACAGACTATCACCATCTACTGGTATGGAGAGTTATCTCCTCTCACGCAGGTGCAGAACATACGTGCTAGTTTGCTGTCAGCTGAACACTTTGAGGTGAGTTCATGTGCAACTTTTTGATGGCGACACAGGCGATGTGAGCTGACACAACATTCAGCTTTTGTCACTGCTAGATCTTTGATGTTGGTTTGGTGTGTATGGTCCTTTACACTCTAAGAAAGACAAACTTGGAGAGGACTGTCCAAACAAAAAAAAACCCTGCATAAATGTTGTCATCCCCACTAGCAGTCTCTCACCTGTGTATGACTCTGGGAGGACTCGTGTCTCACTTTGCTGCTGGCACCAGTGGGTCGCTCTGAATGGCTTTCTCGAGGCATCTTCTTACCAGGACCCCTGAGACCAGCACACAGGGACATGAACCTCAGTTTAACAACATCTTTAAGCAAAATGACACTGTAGAAGGACTATGGCTGTTTTAAGCTTGGGATCATTCTAGGCAGCAGTTGAGACCTCTGACAGTTCACATCGTTAAAGTCGGACAATATATTTCATTGGAATTTTATGTGTGCAAACAAAAAAGTATATCTTTTGTGAGTCATAACTGATCAGATTAGAAAATGTTGGAATCCATCCTTGAGGTCCACACCACATATTGTTACATTTGTTAATGCAATATATTGTATTTTTAAGCATTCTGATTCCCAGCACAACAACCTCAACTTGCAACATAACTGCAACAAGCAAAACCTACAACATTTGTCATACTTAGCTGTTTATGCATAAGATGTTATTTGTCAATTTATAATACTGTATGTAAAGAGCAACTAATGATTATTACCCCTTCCTTTTGCCTGCCAGTACGCCACCATCACTCTAGTAGCTCTAGTCTTGTTTACAAGTAAACAGGAATTGTATATACTGTAGTTCTATCAATTGGCAAGGCAATAAAGGGATTGGCAACACAACACCGCTTCAATGAAACCTCATTTGTAAGATTTATAACCTATTTAGTATATGATGTGTCACATATGGCAGCAGACAAGTTTCAGCATGTACAGTATCTCATTAACAGGCCAAGAACATCTGCACTGAGCTGCTGTTTTTAAATGTCTTTTGATTTTAAATTTGTCAGTTTTAAAACACTTTTGAGGTATGTTCTGTTCCTTTCCAACATAGTTTTGCGTTAGCCCTTATGTCCCTGTGTATATGTGTGCATGTGTATAATATTCCTACCCTGGCCTCACTAGTGGTGCAGGATCCGTGATCATGCGGCAGATGGTGAAACGTGTCTCAAAGGCTCCAGTGTTCTCAATAATGAAACTCTGGCTTTTCTTGTAGCCATAGACTAGTGGACCAAAGTTGATGTCACATGCAGGTGTGATCTTGTACCTAAAGGACAACACAGCAGTTCAAATACTGAAATTCTGTAAAGCAAATCATTAACTGACTGTAATACTTTGAAACTGTTTGAAAACAAAGAAAGATGATCATCCAACAGAATCAAGGAATAAAGGTTAGTGAGGGGTGTTACACATTCTAAATCAGAGGTAAACATACTACTGTATCTTAATTACTAACAGATTTTACACAAAAGAGACAGCATGAATCAAGCCTTAACCTGGAGAAGACGGACTTGACTGAAACCTTGATGGGTAGGATGGCTATCAGCTCTCCTCCGTTCCCAATTTTGGGCTCAATCACCTGCAAAAGATAAAACCGAAATCTCTACTTTGATGCATTCTGTAGCATCCAATAAACCATCAGATAACTTCAAATCTCCAGAAATTTAAGATGTGTCTGTGAGATGTGTTTTTTAATAAAGGAAAAATGCATTCCAGCAACTCTGACTAATCTTTTGCTTTGTATTTCATTTGATTTGTTTATAGTTTACCTGCAGACAGGAATCATAGAAAGAGAAAGAGGGGTATGACAAAGCAACCTGGCCAGAGTCAACTCTGGGACACCACTAGGCTCCAGGACACTAAAGTTTTTCTTCCTAGAATGGTAAAGGCATGACCTGCCCTACTCTCCCTCTGATTGGCTAGTGTTCAGCTGGTTAAGGTTAGGGTAGGATAACCAGGCAATCAGAAGCAGAGTAGGGTAGGTCATGCCTTCACCATCCTTGGGAAAAGAAACAAACAAACAAAAAAAAAAAAAACACTTGTGTCCATCAGGCGTTGCGCTAGACCTTTTCGTCACCAGTCATTTTGACCGACAGAGTCATAAAAATCTGGTCATAATCTATTTTTACCAGTCATTTTAATTTTCGTTTTTTAATTAATAATTTTAATTTATAAATAATTAATAATTGGTACCATCCGCTCTATCCAGCTTGACAGAAGCGCTCGCGGCTCGCGTGAAAAATAGACCAGACGCCGAAATGAAGCGCTGCCTCCGCGGGCGCTCCGCTCTGCTCAGCGGCCTGTGTGGACAGTCAGATAGGTTAACATGGGCGCTGACTGAAAACTGCCTCCGCTGCTGGGCGCCGTGCTATGGTTCCGCATCCAGTGTGTCCAGGGCGTTATGTCCATAGACATATATACATAGACGCCGCATCGACTGCCTGAGCGCGTCCTCGCCGGCCGCCATCTTGGATGGGTCTCGCTTCGCCTCCACAGTGCATTCACTTCTATTGAGGAAGGAGCTGTATGCACAAGTAAAATAGAATAACTCGCTGAATTTTCAACTGATTTTCACGCGGTTTGGTTTGTTACAAACGGCACACATATAGTTATGATACAGGATGCTTTCGTACATTAAAAATGCGGGATTTCATGCTTTAATACTTTCTGCAGATAGCAACAGCATGTTATTTAGGTCACAACACAGTTATTTTATTCACCTCAACCCCAGAGTGGGATGGATATATATATATAGCCTATAGGCTATAGATAGATATAGATATACACACACATATATATACACTGTATAAACACAATATACACAATACAAAACATAGTATAGCATATTAATAAATTTATTAATATATTTTAATAAAGAAAAAGCTCTATTGTTGATTGAGTTTATTTCTCACACACACCCACTCTCTTTTATACCCACAGCCATCAGACTTAATAATTCTTTGTTAAATAGATGATCTTACAGACTTCTTTGAAATTTTCTTTTCGGGGATTAGTAAAGTTATTCTTATTACACTGACTGCTGTGATCCCTCAAAAGTAGTAAAAAACATTTTCAGTATTTACATAAACACTGAAATTAATTTTGGTATTGGTATTATAACTATGAAAATGGGACTGTGGTCAAGATAATTTGAAAAAAGATACAGAAGGATGAGCAGCAGGGGATATTTGCAGCACAGCTGGTGGAAAAGTGAATATGTGCACAAAGGTGTGCTAGGCAAGGCAAGGCAAGGCAAGGCAAGTTTATTTGTATAGCACAATTCAACACAAGGTAATTCAAAGTGCTTTACAGAGACATTAAAAGCAACAAGACACAATTTAAAACAATAAAAACAGTCGATTGAAAAGGGAAATAGAAATTGAGAATGATAGTGATAATAATAAAATACAGTAACATAAAATAAAAACAGGCTCAATACATTGAACCGTCAGGATAAGAAAAGAAGTAAAATAATAAAAGGCATAAATCAGCAGTGTGTAGTTAAAAAGTACGGGCAGCAGAATACAGCAGGTAAGTATTTAATCTAAGAGTACGTTTCAGTAAACAATAGTGTTTTTAGCCCTGATTTAAAGGAGCTGACAGTTTGAGCAAACCTCAGATCTACATATTATGCTATACATAATATGCTATACTGTGTTTTGTATTGTGTATAGGTGTTTATACAGTATGTTTATACAATATATAAATACTGTATATATATATGCCTATATATATATATATATATATATATATATATATCCCACTCTGGGGTTGAGGTGAATAAAAGAACTGTGTTGTGATCTAAATAACATACTGTTGCTATCTGCAGAAAGTATTAAAGCATGAAATCCTGCATTTTTAATGTACGAAAGCATCCTGTATCATAACTACATGTGTGCCGTTTGTAACAAACCAAACCACATGAAAATCAGTTAAAAATTCAGTGAGTTATTATAATTTACTTGTGCATACAGCTCCTTCCTCAATAGAAGTGAATGCACTGTGGAGGCGAAGCGAGACCCATCCAAGATGGCGGCCAGCGAGGACGTCAGCTCCAATATGCAGCGGCAGTCAATGCGGCGTCTATGTATATATGTCTATGGTTATGTCAACAACGCTACATGAAGCAGATGAATGACTTTTTCTCTGCAGTGTGAAAACAGCAGCCACTTAAACCACTGACTGCGCACTCTGCCGCCAAGTGGGCAGGGGTGGTAATTGCAACCGGTCAAAATGACCGACGGCCTTCAGATTTTCCAGTCATTGTTGTAAAAAACTGGTCAATGACCGAAAATATCCTGTTAACGCGACCCCTGGTGTCCATGACACCTTATGCCTCCATAATTCTGTTCAATTAGCCTTCTACAGCACAGCGTTGCCCTTGGGCAACAGAATGTTTTTTCTAAGCCCCAGCCCAGTACATGTGAACTTAAATGATGCCAACCAAACAGAGTGTTTAAAAAAAGTATCAAATTTCAGTCCAATAAGATGTGGGAGTCACTATCAAGCATTATTTGAAGACGGGACATCCTTTTCTGACACATAGTCACAGGAGCACATGGTGTGAGAGGAAGGTAACAATATTTGCCCTAGTAATCATATTTAAAATGACATGAACTGTAAATAAAAAATAACGTGTGTGTATGAAGTTGTAGAGGGGGTTTGTGCCGGGTTTTATGAAGAATTTTTTATTTTGCATTTTCCTTTCGTTGCCTCCGGGCAACATTGTGCGATAAGGGGTACTTCTTGAGGGAGACTTTGGCCTATTGAATTTTACTTCTTTTAACACATTTTGACAGAAAAACAGACGTAAGATCTTTCTATGGGAGGACAGAGAGGGATCAGCATGTTAGGGAATTCCCATCTGAGGACAGTGACATAGACAGCAATGACAGTGAGACCAAAAATGTGTGACAACAAGGGAAGGTGCAGGGTTCCTGGTTACACAGGAACACCAAAAGTGATATGTATAAAGTGTAATATGCACCTCTGTTTCACAGTACAGAAGAACTGTTTTGTGAAGTTTCACAAAGTTATGTCTCACAACATGGGAATCAATATGACATGACACTGGACAATGCAAACCTAAGCCTGTATCAAGTCGTCAATGTTAATATGTTTCAAGTGTTTTTCAATTCTTTGTTTCATAATTTGTTGACATTTTTGGAAGATCTTCTGATATTTTTATTGCTCTCTAACAGTTGTCTTATGATCTATGAATTGATTGTTTTCCCTGTTGTTTTGTACCATTGTTGCACAACGTAACAAAAACATATCTTGGAGTGGGAGGGTCTGAAATATGAATAAAGTTGTTATGGCAATAAAATGGCCCAAAGTGAGTCAGTTAATGATGCTGAATAATTTTCAGCATGTACCATCAAAATGTGTGCAGTAGAGGGTATTGAGTTGAAATATAACACAGTTAACCATATTTTAAAAGTCTCCACTAAAACTGCTTTTATTAAGCCAAAGAAAGGCTGTGTGGAGGGCATACCTCTTGTATCATCAAATCAAAATCAAAAAGTTGTGGTACCAAATATCTGCAGGGGTAACAGGGGTACACAATCCATTTCCATTTCACTATGGCCACTATACACTACACTACACTACACTATACCAGTGTATGACTCCTACCTGGCAATGCAGAACAGGCTGCTCTTTAATTGAGGCTTCCCCACTGGGTCTGCAGAGGATGTACACTGTTGTGGGCTTCTCATGGCGCATCAGAGTACCACTCTGGGGGGAAACTGTGAAAATGGAGTCTAGGTTTGGCTGGGTTGGGTCGGTCTGCTGTAACGTAAACCTTGTGGAAAGAGAAGAATGCAAGCGAATAACATTATTAGCTCCATGGTGAGATCAAAATTACTTACAGTAATCTAGAACCTTAAACTGATACTTTAATACTATGATGCAATGTTGAGTCAAAAAGGAGCAGTTTTAACTCACTTGTATGCTATCTCATATTTTCCTTGATTTTTCATCCTGAGAGAGAATTTGGCCTCCTCAAAGACTCTCATGGTTCCAAAATCAAGACAGCCATCTGCCAAAGAAACAAGAATATACAGTATATAGTTTTTATGCCTCTGCTACAGGCATTGTGTATTCTGGTTGAAAATCCGTCCCATGCTTGTGAAGCAAATGTCAACTTGGACTCAATGATGAATTCATTAGGTTTTGGTGGTCATAGGTCAAAAGTCAAGGTCACTGGGACCTTGTCTGTCTCATTCCCATGAATGCAATATCTCAAGAACACTGTGAGGGAATGTCTTCACATTTTGCACAATGGACTCAATGATGAAATAATAAGATTTTGTCGTTTAGTTGTTTAGTTAAGAATTATACCATCAGGGCTGTAACTCAGTCATTCAGTGGTAAACACAGTCACCACACAGCAAAAACATTCTGGATTACAATCTCAGTTTGAATTACATGTGTCATAAAGGAACAGCTCACTGCAAATTTAAATATACATATTCTTACCTGTAGTGCTATTTATCAGTCTTGTTTTGGTGTGAGTTGCCGCATGTTTGAGATGTTGGCTGTAGAAATGTCTGCCTTCTCTTGAATATAATGTAACTACTCAGCTTGTGGTTTTCAAAGTGCCAAAAAATAAATTTGAAATCCTCAACAGTCTCTTTCCAGAGATTATGACCAAACTTGCCTGCCAACTGTATCACCGTGCAGAATGAAGCGTGCATCTACTCAAGAACTAGAGGCTCCAGCTTGTTACAGCACAAGATGTAAACATTAATGGCATTCTCCTCAGCTGAGCTGTACTGCTAGCTAACTCAGCGGTGCTGAGGAGGACGCCGAGGAGGACGCTATTAATGTTTACATTTTGTGCTGTCACAAGCAAGATCCTCTCGTTCATAACTATATGCATGCATCCCTCTGCATAGTGATAGGGCTGGTGGTTGTGGTTCAGTAAAAAGAAAATAGTTCACACAGTAATCCGGCCATAATTTCTGGGAAGAGACATTGCTTTTGTGTTTTTCTCTTTTTTTGCCACTTTAAGCACCAAAAGTAAAGTGCCATCCACTTCCTTTATATTCAAGAGAAGGCAGACATCTCCACGGCTCCAACACTCTTTTTTTAAAAATTAAAAAAAAAAAAGGAAAAATGGCCAATAAAAAATTGATCACAAAAATCTCCAACACTCTGCAACTCACACCAAAACAATCTAGATTGATAAAAAAGGAAACAAATGTACTAATTTTGAGGGAGACTGTTCCTTTAATAGAATTAAAAGCCATGCAAATTATGGAAGGCCCAGCATGAAAGGTTTGTACACTCTAACAATTTTTACCTGGTGTAATTTCAAGAGCTATATCGTAGGCTTCTGCTGTGACCACTATGTTTTCTGTGTGTACGATGCCTAGAATCTTCTCCACATCGGATACCTGAAACAAAACACACAGTACATACTGTACCTGTACACAAACTGATATGTGAAATACCTAGTTTGACACATATCATCGTATCATATCATACACATATATCATTTTTGAATCAGCCCTGACATTTTGAAGTGCGTTTGAATACCTACAGCAAAACTGGAATAGTACTTCCATAATGCATACTGAGCTTAGTTCCAGTTCATGTTGTATTTCATATTTATTATTCATTAAAGCATTTGTACTTCTATAGTTTTACTCTACCTCCAGACGTAAGGTCTTCTTAATGTTGAGTGGTTTCTTGGCCCTGAAGTGCAAGCTCAGGGGGAAAGAAGAGTTTGGTGAGATGATGCCCTGATCCTGCGGCACACTGAACTCATCACCCAACTCCTCCACGCCCTGCAGTCTCCAGGATACCGGCAGAGCTGTTTTATTATGCAGTGTCACACTACGGCTATTCCGCCTAGAGAGAGAAGGATAAAAGAAGCTAAGTTCAGCAGAGGACACTTTAGATTATATAAGAACTCAAAAATAGCCAGTGTAATGGCAGCATAGTATTTTATCATGCAGCTTCCCTTTATGGAGGAGGTTCACTGTGCTTTGTGAAAATCACCTCTCAAGTTATTCTACATTTTGGTACCTTTGCAGCAAAGTCCTGTCAAAGTGCAAATGCTTGCTTTCCAGCTCTAGCTCTGGTCGAACGCCCCAGCAGGAGAGGTTGATAATGACAAGCTCTGGATTGTCCTTGATATGGCACACAACACTGTCCTTCATTTGTCCCAGTTTTGTTGGGTAGGCCCACACTGTCAACTCCTAGCAGGACGGAAAAAATCACTGGATGCTAAAATGTTCTCAATCTGGTATTTCCCTGTGATATTTTGCTCACACATTATCAGTCATCTGAATGAGAGGTAAGACCTGAATGGTACCTGTTTCTGGGCAGGTTTGAGAGTCATGGTTGGGGGGTCCAGCAGATATGTAGTGGCCTGGCTATCATGCTGGAAACAAAACTGGACCTCAGCCTCCAGGCCTGAATTGTTATGAATCACTAGTCTCTCCGTGTTCTCTGGGTACCTGTTTTCCTTGTATCTATTAAACAGACACATGTGAATCTGTAAAGACAAAGGCAGAGACTGAAAAGAACACATTAAGCCATTCACATCCTTTACCCTGCCTCTCACCTGTCTCTGCTCTTGCCACAGAGTAACGGTCCAAACTCAAAGTATCCAGGTTTGATAATGTAAGTCTTCTGGAGCCCTTCTTTCATTTGGGGTACCCTCTTACTGAGGGCAAAAAGAGTCCTGTGGAAAGGATGTATGATAACTTTAAGTCTCAACTAAAATCACTTTTAGTCATCCTTTCTTCCAGTCAAGGGTTTTCTGTGAAGTTCAATGCATTTAAAGATTTTTCAGGCAATTTATTTCACATTATTGCATTTTCAGCAATGGCTTATTCAGCTGTCAGCATTCACACACATTTTTTTCAGGAAATTCATTTTGTAGTGAGCCACCTAGCCTGCAAAGTGATGTTAGCAGTGTACTTTCTCTGATGAATGTTTGTTGGCATGTTCAACAAGCTAAGGTACAGGACAAGATATGTTTATGTTTATAAGTTAAATAAGAAGGTGACTTTAGCAGGAAAGCTAATGCAGGTTGTTCTCCAATGTCTGGACCTTGTGTAGCAGTCTGGCTCAGTGTGTGAGCCAGACTGCTACACAGATGTCACTTAATTTAGAAATATTGGGTTAAATATCAAAGTTTAATAATTGTCTAGTATCTATTTTTTATTTGTAATAACCCCTCTTTTCCCCTCCCTTCCCCTGTTTTTACCATTTGTATTACTGTATTTAGTTATTAAATAATGCTGACTGACGTGTAGTCTTTGCAGATGGAGGGATAGGCGCTTCTTCCTCTGCAGAGGAGCTGGTATTGTCTCTGGGTCCCCAGTAGCTCAAAGTTAAAGGTCTGTTCAAACGTCCCTATGGAGTCCGAGTAAAACCAGATCTTCAGGACCACCTCACCGTTGGCTGGTACAACCCAGCGAAATGTTGTTAGGCTGCACACAAATACATACACAAAAACACACATGCACACACTTAGTAAAAACAACAACAAAGTTAAAAAAAAAAGCTACAATGTGTCCTTGTAGAGTGTCTGTGTGTGTTGGTCCTTGCCTCTGGCTGCGTTTCAGCTCTAAGATTCCTTGATGTTGATCTTCTTCAGTGCAGTCAGATGTAGAGGAGACGTGAGGTAAGCGAGACTGATCCGAGCCCTTTGCTTTTATCTTGGCTGAAGTTTGTCTCTTGCTCCTCTGACTCTCTCTGCCCTTTTTATCCTTGTCCCTTGTTACTGCACTGTCCTTAATGCTGCCCTTGCCTCGACTTTTGGAACGTGTTGCTGCTGCCTCTTCCTTTAGTGTGGACACACAAACACCACTCTGAAGCTTTAATGGTGACACTGTTAACATAAATTTGTACCTTTAATTGTTATTATAATTTGGTATCTTAAATATGTGGGATAGAAATTAGTGGTAGCTCATTCTTCAAGGAAGGTAAATTCTAAGCACTCAATATTCTTCAAACCAAGACAACATTTCCTATAAATCCTGCTGCTTCTTGCCATAAAAGGATGTGGCTTCTTGAAGAAGATCATCACCTACGCATTGATAATTTTGCAGTTATGTTTTAAGTATATATTCATGTGGTGTGTAAAATTATCATTACCTTTACAACTGATGCCTGCACATCTTCCCTTGGACCTTTCTCCTCACCCTGGTCGTCTGGCCCTGCAGGAACTAGGAAGGTGAAATAGCTACAGGAGAGCTGGCTGTCAGATTGCTCCCTGTTTTTGGGAAAAGGAACCATAGAGAAGATGGTAGGAGGAGGGATGGGTGGGCCGCTGGGTCCCAACCCCAAATCGTCCAACACCTAACAAGACCAAAGTAGAGATGGAAGCACATTAGGCAATGGTGACAGAAAAAAACAAATGCTAAGGTACATTTTGAAGAGACAGATACGGTCAATTATACTAACTCCCATACTAACAGAGAAATCAGACATACCTCGACAAGAGGAGGGAGGGTGCTGCCTTTGAGCAGCTCTGAAGCACTTGGATAGTCTTTCCCTGTCAGATTCAGCACAATATGAGGGATGATGCCCTGTGGAGACACCTTGTCTGCTTCACTTGGTGCTGATGTCTGGCTTGGCATTGGAGACATGACCTTGATGTTGGCTTTCTTGCTCCTCTTGCCAACAGGGGTCTGTGCAAACAGGTGAATAGTGTATTGAATAGTTTTCCAAACTTGAGCTGCTGTAATACTGAAGCTTTCTTTGTCTATGTTAGTCATTTATGCAAGTGTAATGAGGGACTATGGTCAAACCAGAGGTTTTCTAACGTTGTCTGTAAGTACAATCAGCAAGTATCGTGTGATAAAGTGTACACGCACATAAGGACAGATATCTACCTGTTACCCATTTAAATTTAAAGGTGGGTACACAAACATGCAACAATAACACTAAAATGTTCCTCTGGAGAATGGCACCACAAGAAACTGTTCGAATGTGAAAAGTAGTGATAGGAAAAAATAATTGAACAAAAAGCATAATGCAAAGCATATTTTGCAAAAATCAACAAAACTTGAAAGGTCTGATACATTAACATGTATCAAGAAATTGATAGTGTGAAAAGGATCAGACCGCCCTTCACTACTGAAAGGCTGTCTGTCAGGGCTGCCGTCAACTTGTTACAGTGATGATAAACTCCACCCATGGTTCCACCTTCAAACTGTGACTGGACAGTTAATTGTTTTTCATTTAGCCAAGGACAAGCCCCACTTCTCATTTCTTAGTGGACACATCCTCACAAGCCAAGAGGAGGCAAGGAAGAGACATGAGAAGAGAGGAGTCAAGGCAACAGGCATTTCAAAAAATGAGACATCCATGCTTTGGAGCCATCACCTGTGTGTCACATGCCCTAAAAAACATCCACAAAGGATACCCCTGTGCATCCTTGTTCATAGCTCCTCCTGCAAGCCTCCTCTCTCCTTTTAGAGATTTATTTTTAGAATTGAGACTTGCTCCAATTAACCGTGCTAAGATTAATTTCCGGGTCAGGAGGACGAACGACAGAGGAGACGAAGAGGTGCAAAATAGAAAAATGAGAAGAGCCCAGGGGGTCTCCATCTCATAAAAAGAAAAGACTCCCCTGCAACAGTGCTTTGTAATCAATTTAGTAATCACAGGTGTATGCTGCCCTCTGTTGGACAAACTGTAATAAAATACACCTCTTTACTCTGTTGTGATTTGATCACTCAAGTAATTTAGACAATATATATATATATATATATATATTGTAATTTAACAATACATACAACGTGTATTATATATCACTTTATTTAGGTTTTTTTGCTGTAGTTTGAAAGTTAAAAAAAAAGTTAGAGTACAATTGTAGCAAGAGAAAACACAACTGACAACCTTACCTGTTTCTCTGCTGTGGCCTCCTCTGACATCAGTGGTGGGGCTTCTTCACTGGGGAGCGGGACCAGCAACAAGCCCTGAGCTCGGTCCCAGTGCTGCAGGATGTGCTCCACCTGTTCTTGGCTCCGCTCATACGAAGTGAACTGAGACTGCAGCTCATCCATGATGGGCTACAATGGTTGGATAGTAAAAACAGAAAGGCTATTACAAATAGGTCATCAGCATCAACATCTATTGCATTTTCTAGCTTGGTAGAAGCTCAAAGTGTAGGAGCCATTACACATGCAACAGAATTTATAACTATTGTCTTTACATAACTAATACAAAAACCTTAACTGCAAGTGCAAAGCCACAATTAATTTTTCCATTGTTTTGCTGCTGGCAAATTAAATGTTTAACTGTGAATGTAATTCCTATTTTAAGACAACAATTAAGTGTTGTTATTTATTGTTATGGCAGATCATCTCTCTCTACTCTCTCTGTTGTAAAAGCACACTGAATGGTTGTGTATATTCCCAGTATTCAGTATCAAGTTTGATACTATGAACAACTGGACCATTCCAGAGCTGAAAGAGTGAAATACAAACGGAAGAAATGTATGTTTACTTATCAAGTAACACAGAACTCACAGTGTAGTCTCCATTTTTGTTTGATTTTTTTGTGAATGCACAGCCCATTATGACTATGATTATCTTAATAAAGCATCTAGAAATATAAAGTATTGGTAATTGGTCAGCAATGACACTGAATACTCATCTGCTGTCTGGGTTTGACTGTGTCACTGCCTTTGCTCCTTAATAAACTCACCATTTCTCCCTCCGGCTTGTCTGCAGGTTGAGGAGACACTGCTTGTAATGTCTTGGCTTCTTCTGTCTTCTTATGTGAATGATCAGCCTCTTTGTTCTGATGCGCTGCATTTGCAAATAGGATCAGTAATACATACATACATACATACATACATACATACAGACAAACACAGTAATTGTGGATCATGACTTTTATCTTGGAAAATAGTATGGGCTACATGGTATCCATTTTCATAATCAAAATGACACTGTTTTTTAAGCTTCCTGTGTATTTTTATATTACTGCATGCCCTAATTTGAGTATTGAAACAGTTATCATTTTTAACTAATTAGATAACCTCATCAGGAGTTAATCTTGGGTTTTGAGACCCTCTCCGGATGTAAATGTCTGTCAACAAAATTGTAAGCCTTGTAAGTAAGTTGTGAGCTTATACAGTGTGGATCATCCTTTCTTATAGCATGTCCTAAAGGTTCTTATCTCCTCCACTGAGGCATGCTGGGACTCCTTACATCTGCTGGCACCTTCATTTAATTGATGCTGCTCTCTTGCCTCCACAATTGACTCTTTAGAGTTGTTACAGAAAGGTGTTGGATGGGCATCCGGCACAAGTGTTGACTGGAGAAAAAAAAACAGAATAAGTAATTGTTCTGTATGTGTAAAATCTGGTTTAGGGATTTAATTCACAGAGGAATCCCCGAACATGGTGTGTGTACAGACCTCCTTTCCACCAGGTGGGCCTGTCTTCCCTGATACTTCTTTATTATCTCTATCTCCACCCTTTTTCTTCAACTCTTTTTCTTCTTTTAGCTTCTTCATGTCTGCAGTTTCTATACTCTGAGATCCAATGACAAACATACGTCATGTCCAGTATAAATGCAAAGTTCATGACTGAAAATCACAAGATCATGTACAGTATATGATTCTAGATACAGATAATTCCAGTTGTAGACAGGTCTATAGTGACACTGAGGACAAATACTTTTAACACTTCAGATTATGGCCCACAGCATGCAGTGTAATACCTCTCAACTGTGCGTTGTGGGACATACCATAAAGAGTTACTCTAATGTCTAATAATATGATACAGTGAATAATTTCTGTCGTGGGACTGAATGTCACTGCCTTTGTTTAGAAATAAACCTACCTTTTTTCTCTCCAGCTTGTCTGTAGGTTGAGGAGACTCTGCATGTAATGCTTTGGTTTCTTCTGTCTGCTTCTGTAAATCATCAGTCTCTTTGCTGTGATGCACTGTAACAGCATAGAAGACCATATGTTGCGATCAGACCACTATTAACTGCATTTTATTCACTTTTTTTTTTTTTTTTTGGGTGCCAAGATACTAGAAAATTATTTGAGTGTCCAGAACTTCACAAAAGTGGGATTCCTTGCAGTTGCTTGCACCTTCATTGAAGTTATGGTGTTCTCTTGCATCCACTAGTGACTCTAAAGAGTTGTTACGGGAAGACAACCTTCGTCCATTCAATGCATCTGCTGACTGGAGAGGAAATCAGACATATGAGTTTCATGACCACCAATAGGGAGACAAAGTGAGCGTTGTATTTGTGCTCATGGAGGCTTGTTGGTTTTTTGATTCCAATTGGATTTTGTTCATAGAAGAATATTGATGTGGAATACATATACAGACCTGCTTTCCCTCCAGCAGGCTCTTCTTCCTCAACACTTCCTTAGTATCCTTCTTTCCAGCCTTTTTGGTCTTCTTCTTCAGCTCTTCTTCTCTCAACCTTTTCATCTCCTCCTCTAGCCTCTTTTCTTCCTGCTCTTTAGCTATATGCTCGAGCTCCCTTCACAGGCGCACACATGTACACAAGTTGTTTGGTTTTTTAATAGTTAGGAAAGGTTTGGTGGAAGCTGCATCCACTAAAGACCTGGACAGTTCAATAAGTATTTGCGTATAAAACTCCAAAACTAGACTACAGGGGACTTCAACCAAGTACACAACATGAAAAACTGGAGGGTTAAATTAGCTTTTTTTTATCCAGGTATACAGACACAAAATCCAATTCAATATTTATTTTTTCATTTCTTATATTTCCTTGAATGGTTTATCCTTCCATTATAACTGTGCTGTTTCTTCACTTTACTTTGACCATCTCTATCTTTTGGTACAGCCACTGTGTTGCTTCTCTGCCCCCAGGTTGCATTTACAATCCCTCAAATGGTAAAAAGATTTCAGAAAGTTAAAAAAAAAAAAAAAAAAAAAACTCTGTCCAGCACCTAATAGACAGTGGGCCTCATGCAAGAACCACTCATGTGAACAGACTGGTTGTTAAGTAACACATATGAGTGACTGAAGAGAATTTGTGGCATTTACCAACTGTGTTAAAGGCGCTGTATGTAAGAATGTGGCCAAAGCGGTTACTGCACTCAAATTCAAAATACTGCCGCCGTGTCCGCCCCCCCTCCCCTACAGATTTGAGGTTGCTGGATAGCGGCACGCTGGAGACTGATTTGTTTGCCCACAGGCGGCTGCCGTGGCAGGGCCGCGTCGCCGCGTCCTTGATCTTCGGTTTTCCAGTGGACCGTTCGAGCAAGTCCAGCTTCTCTGCTGCTAACGCTGCTGCTGGGATACAGCTGAGGAGAAGCCGGCTGCTAATGCTATGTACCGGGACACTGCTAATGCTGCTTGCCACGCTGCTGTAGCTCAGTCATAACTGTAACTGATGCTGAGACTCTACTGACTGCGTGACCGGTGGGTGGCGCAACAGGCCAAAACACAAATTCAAAACATAGACATGATTTGCGGACCGTAAAATTTTTTTTTGAATGCGAATATTCTGGCTGTACTATTGTTGTCGGTGAGATCAGTATGTTATATGAACATTATTCCTTAGTCTCTGTGACATATTAGGAGGATTTTACGACTATTTGCTTTAGATTTCTTACATATAGCTCCTTTAAGAACTTTCTCTGGGTACAAACAAAATTCACAGGTGGTACAGACCAGCCATACCAATCATGTAAACTAGGATACACTTGTTTGACTTAAAGGTCTGGTGTGAAGGATTTAGTGCCATCTAGTGGTGACGCTGCACACTCCAACCAACTGAAACTTCTCCCATGTGCCAAGCATATAGGAGAACCACGGTGGCTGACGTGAAAAATTGAATGGCGGATGACGAAAACACAGCAATTCTTACTTTTACTTGACTATACACTAATGTAAACGAGTTATGGATTTCATACTCAATTTCTGTCAATATATCTCCCTAAATCCTTCACACTGGACCTTTAAGAATCATTATGGGCTCTAGTTTCCCAGCGCAGCGCAGGTGGCACAGGGTGGCGAACCCTGCGCAGAGCTAGTTTTGAGCAGCGCAACCCGAGGCGCGCTCAGTTTGGTAGTTTGGCAGACCGAGGTGCGCTGAGATGGGTGTGGCGGCGCAGCAGGGGGAGGTGTCGACAGATCCAGCTTGGCGCAGTGACAGTTTCGTGCCAAAAGGCTTCGTCAAAGGTGCGCTAAAAGCTCGCCATCTGAAACCAGGTCTACTGTCAGCGCAGGGGGAGCGCAGCCAGTGTAAGCCGAAGTTTGGCTGACTGGCGGACAGTGCGCACACGTCACCAAAACCTCACAGGCAGGTTTCCAGAATATCAGGCACATTAACAATAAAATAAATAGCCACAAAACCACT